ATCCTATTAATACATCAGGCAAGAAGTATCATATAGTGTTATCTGGATAAAAGGCTAATATGGAATTATTTCATGGTCACTGACCTGAAATAAAAAACCCCAGTGAGATCAGAACTGGTCTCAATACTTGTTCCAAATTAGTGTTACTGGATAAGGACAACAGCCAAGCAAAAACATTTAGAAGAAAAGGTCACCACAGTCTCATAATGCAGGTTTCCTTTATGTTATATACAGATCTGAATGATCTTTTAAAAGATATTTCAATAAACCTGACTGTGTCTATGGTTCAGTCTTGTTCTATAGCTGTCACTGCAGCTTTATAGCTGTGGAGGGGGGAGGCGTAAGAGCAGGAATATCTTTAGCAAGTAAATAAATAACCGTCAGTTGAAAAATACCTAACATGACCAATCCAGATGCTTCTCCCAAGACTGGTTGGCTGTCTGTGAAGGTCTGGTGCCATCACACATTGAAACCCATTTGTGCTCATGTCTATGGAGTCTTTTTATCTACCAAATTCTTGACAATAGGGACCTTTGAGCTGTCATCATATAATAATTTATTTGATAACACAAGTGTAAACCAGTCTTATTACCTTACATTAAATTCATTGGTTCTAATCATTATTGCTGTACTTGGAGCAACAAAAAATATGCTCTGATAAAATCAAAATGAGTCCATTTTGTGATCAGTACCTCTAGAGATACTATGTATATATGTGTAAACACAGTAATTAATTTAATCCACAAAATATTAATCATACCTTTGTTGTATTACACTGCGAATGGATGATATTTTCAGACTAAAGCCAATGGTTTCTATCAACCACTTGAGTTCAACGGGGGAGAATATGATATGTTTCTGCTCTTGTCAGCTATAAAATGCACAGCAGTGAAGTTGGTGCACATTCTGTCCCCTGTGGAAGAAGATGGGAGGTGGTTGCTAAGGGAACCCATCCACTAATATAAGAATTTCAAGGATGTTCCTGGCGCATCTCCATTCACACAGCTTAACTGTTTCACTGCATACACACTGTAATTAAAATTAATAATTACTAAGAATGGTTGAAAGAAGGCTGAATTTGCCATTTTGTCTTTGGCTAAGACAAAATGGAGAAATAGTAAATGTTGTGCTCTCTAGCAAATGGGTCAGTGTCACATTATAGTAGCTTGTGGTGTCTAAAATAACACTTTGGAAGCAGCATTGTGGCATTTTGTAAAGGAAATTGACCCCAAAACTATCATAGTTTATTTGTAAATGTAAAACATTTACAGCAAGTTCAGTGGCTGTAATATTGTTGGTCTTTGGGCAACACAATGGCTAATGGGTAAGCACTCTTGTTGGGTCCTGGGTTCAACTGCTAAATTTAGCTATTCATGGAAATATCCGCTTGAAGTTGTATGATCTCACTGCATTTATGCTGTTTTTGTATGGTTTCTTCCCACAATCCAAAAACATTCAGATAGGTAAACTAGCTCCCTACCAAACCTTTCCTGCTGCATATGAGTGTTGTGGGGACCTTAGAGTGTGAGCAAATACAGGAGTCAACACTTATGTGAACTGTCCTAGTCACCCTGTAAAGGGTTGCATAATATATCAGTGTTGTAATAATAATGAAAATAATTAATATGGGGTTTTTTTTTGCATTTCATGCAAACTTACCTTCATCCCCTGGTTCTTCCCAACTTGTCTTTTCTGCTCCTCATCGGCTTTGTTCCCTATCAAAATCTTCTGCACTCCATCAGGTGCATACTAAAACATAACGTATATGTATTATTATCACAATTACTTAAAGATTATATAATAAGCACATGTGTAAATGTATTAGTATAGGTTAGGTTCAGGGTCAGGCAACCCAAAACTGAAATTTCAGTCATGTTTTAAGGCCAGTTGGCCACCAATAGCCTTCCTGCAGGATCTGGCAGCTCTGTCTGTCATCTAGAGAGATGATTCACTCCCCTTACTGTAGTCTCTCTGCTGTATAATGACGAGAAGTCCAAACATGCTACAGCAATCCGCAGCAAGTGATATAGCTGTGGTCCCACAGTTCAGAGAATACTTTCATTCATCTACTGCATCAGACATTTTGTAACTGCAGTCAACTGGGGAAGGTACCATAACAATATCTCTTAGCTGACAGCTACAGTATTTCACCCACTGTGGTCACTGCATCATGCTTACAAACATCTCTGTGCCTTATGGAGAGTGCACTGATTCCAGCAATGACTGCATCAAAAATCCAGTATTGATTGGTCAGATTTTTTTTAAATATAGTTATAAAACTAAAGTTTGATCCTTGATCTATTTTCAAGCAGCTAGAATGCAAAGGACGTCAAGGGTGTGTTTTGAGGCATGATGTCTCTGATTGGTCACACAACCCAGATCAGTAGGGGACCACAATGAGGGGATGAAGGTCACCCCATAAGTGTGATCATCATGCCATGTGATCACTCTAAGCCTATATGCAGTGGGACCACAGAGAACGAATGTAGCCACTCTCTAAGAGGAAGTCAGATCACAGTAGCAAAAAAAACTGAATATGGAGTTTTAGAGGAGGCTGAGCACAATAGAATGTACTTTTTCAGTTAGGAATCAATTTTTTTAGTGTCACATTAGGATTCAGAGTCATACACAAAACCTCTATTAGTCTAGACGTATTAGGTGTTTGTATACATGTTTGAAGTTACCTAAGCAGTTTTGTTTAATGTTAAACAGTTAGACGGAAGAATTGGAAGACTTTTTGGTGTTGAATATTTACTATTGTGCATTTTTCCATTATTTCACAAATAATATGTTTAAAAGTTAAGAAGTATGCAATGGGGTTCATTTACTAAAACTGTAGAGTGCAAAATCTGGTGCAGCTGTGCAAAGAAACTAATCAGTTTCCAGGTTTTTTTTTGTCAACACTTAATTGAACAAGGTCAAGTTAGAAGCTGATTGGCTACCATGCATAGATGCACAGGAGTTTGCACTCCTGTTTTAGTAAATCAACCCCATTGTTTATTACTGTACACACATTTGTCTTCAAAATTTACATTTTATTTGTGTGTGGACATATGCCATTCTTATTATACATATAGGTTTGACAAATATTCTAAGACCATAGTAGGATGTAAAACATATGGATACTATACTTTTCATTCTTTAGGATCTATCACTTTTTTTAAACATGAGGTTTTTATTTCATAATGTAATCAATGCTTACATATAGTTAGAGTGGTTGAAAAAAGACACAAGTCCATCTACTTAATGTATTTGGTCATCATGTTTGGTTACTATATAGACTAGCAATAAACACACTGGGGTAATTTATAAAATTGGTTAAAAAAAACATGTCTGCTTAACCTATATCAATCAACTGGATGTCAGTTGATTATATAGTGTAGTTTAGGGAAATTTGTTGAGTTGATTGGTTGCTATGAGCAAGGGATATGTATATTTATCCAGTTTTAGTAAATTAATTTGATTGATTGAAGTAAATGATAAACAATATAAGTACCTCATCTACATCACTGGCCCATTTCATTATATGCTGGTAGGAACGCTCACTTGTTATGTCATACACTAAAAATATTCCCTAAAACAAAACACAAAAAACAGAATTAATGACACAAACAAAGCATTAAATATTTCACAAATCTAAACAAGATCTCCCAGGAAGCACTGTGTGGCCCTGGCTATGTCTCCAGTCCCTTAATATACCTGGGAGTAAAACATATCGAAATGTAAATTAGAAAAATAAATATTTCATTTTACATGTTAATTCCATGTTAATGGAACTGCACTGCATCTGAGCACCACAAACCAAACATTTTATTTAATATTCAAAGCTAACTCACCCATCGATCAATGTCTCCATGCTTTTTTTTGCTGACAAATCATTTTGAAAAACGCCCCCTGGCATTTCTGGCAGTGGCCATCTTCAGTAAGGGCAGATGATTAATGTAGCATTTACTTTCTGAAACCCATCTGCTCTTAACTCAGGCACTGGCTGTGCTGAGAACCCTCCCTCCCCTCTTCAAGAGGCCTCATTTTTGATGCACAGGCACATCCTGGGCTCTACTTCCTGATCCTATAGACAGAGTTTGCTGCTGGACGGCTGGATGTTCCACCTGGATTTTAATACACCACACGATGATTTTAACAATTTATCTTGTAAGTGCAATTTATCTATTGTTTATTAATAAATTGTCAATACTGCACTTAGAGGCGCCTTCCTCTCTTTTTTATGTTACTGCATTAGAGCCTTGCTTCCACTCTAAGAAGAGCTGCCTCAGTGTTACTGCTCCCATCCATCAATCCATCCCTGATATCCATCTGGCACCTTTATCCTACAGCTACAGAGGTTGGGCTCTAACAATCGTGCCCTATATAATATACATTTTCAATACTGAGTTGACCCAACCTTTGCAGCTATAACAGCTTCAACTCTTCTGGGAAGGCTGTCCACAAGGTTTAGCTGTTTGTCTATGGGAATGTTTGACCATTCTTCCAGAAGCGCATTTGTGATATCAGGCGCTGATGTCGGATGAGAAGGCCTGGCTCGCAGTCTCCGCTCTATTTCATCCCAAATGTGATCTATCGGGTTGAGGTCAGGACTCTGTGCAGGCCAGTCAAGTTTCTCCACCCCAAACTCCACTCATCCATGTCTTTATGGACCTTGCTTTGTGCACTGGTGCTCAGTCATGTTGGAACAGGAAGGGGCCAAGCTGTTCCCACAAAGTTGGGAGCATGAAATTGTCCAAAATGTCTGGGTATGCTGACTCCTTAGAGTTTCCTTCACTGGGACTAAGGAGCCAAGCCCAACCCCTGGAAACCAACCCCACACCACGATCCCCCTCCACCAAACATTACACTTGGCACAATGCAGTAAGGCAAGTACCATTCTCCTGGCAACTGCCAAACCCAGAAGCATCCATTGGATTGCCAGACAGAGAAGTGTGATTTGTCACTTCAGAAAACATGTCTCCACTGCTCCAGAGTCCAGTGGCGGTGTGTTTTACACCACTGCATCCGATGCTTTGCATTGCACTTGGTAATGTAAGGCTTGGATGAAGCTGCTCGGCCATGGAAACCCATTCCATGAAGCTCCCTATGCACTGTTGTGCTAATCTGAAGGCCACACAAAGTTTAGAGGTCTTTAGCTATTGACTCTGCAGACAGTTGGCGACTTCTGTGCACTGTGCGCTCAGCATGCGCTGACCCCCCTCTGTCATTTTACGTGACCTACCATTTCATGGCTGAGTTGCTGTTCTTCCCAGTTGCTTCCACTTTGTTATAATACCACTAACAGTTGACCGTGGAATATTTAGTAGCAAGGAAATGTCACGGATGGACTTATTGCACAGGTGGCAACCTATCACGGTACCACGCTTGAATTCACTAAGCTCCTGATAGTGGCCCATTCTTTCACAAATGTTAGTAAAAGCAGTCTGCATGCCTAGGTGCTTGATTTTATACACCTGTGGCCAATGAAGTGATTGGAACACCTGAATCCAATGATTTGGAGGGGTGTCCCAATACTTTTGGCAATATAGTATAGCATTTGTTGGTAGAGAAATACCAGGCGATTGTTAGGTAAAGCTGGAACAGCATGAGAACATAGCAGCTAATGTGACTCTATTGACATCCTGCATTGCGTGAGACAGACTGGGCTATGTTCACCTTTCTCACATGCTGGCAGGAGAATTGTCCATTAGGCTGTATCTGTGCTACATGCCAGTGGATACAGAAAAGCAGTTGGCCCAGGAGCAAAAAGGAATGATTTGTGTGGCTGAGTCCACACAAAGTAGTAAATTAAAGTAAGTAGTAAATCCTTTGTTTTTGGATTTGTGAGACATTTGGATGCCTTATGTTCTAAAATAGCTCTATTGTGTTTCACACTGTTTTGGCAAAAGGCTTTTCACTCGTATACTATAGAATGTAAAGGATCCCCTATGATATACATGGAAAACATAATATCAGTTAATTTTACAGGTTGTATGAAGTTATATTTTTGTCTAAACTTTTAAACAGGAATTTCAACACATACTGTGCTTTTCATTACAAAGGCACCAGAACTACATTTTAAAATGTATGCTATTATGAAAATGAACCTGTACTAAGATATAATCATATAAAGAGACCCATTTCTCCATTATCTGTAAGAGATTGCCTATGGCCAACATCACCTTGTAACCGACTCTGCCCTGACAGCATGAGAAGGTTGTAAATTACTGATTAAATAATGACTTAACAGTAGGCAGTAATAAAAAGCGATATGTTCTTTCTACTTAACAGCTGTTCAGAATCTCAGGAAGGTGGCAGAGTTAGGTCTTTGAAAACCCATCATTTTTGACATGCCATTCCATTCACCACAAACACATTTATTTTTTGAGTTGGGGATAGGGGCTCATACAGAGGGACTGAGAACTTGAAAACTTGTCTGCTGCAGAAGTAAAATCCATTTTAAAGCAAACATTTGCTTTACACATGGAGGGGAAAAGTACAGATTTACTTTAATGCCTGGGTACCCAAACAGAAACACTGACCTTTCCAGCACTATCATACCTCTTTGTCCAGCCAGCAGCAGCAACTAAAATACCTGATACTTCCACTTTTGAAGTTCTGAATAAAGCAGCAGGAGAACTAGCATGTCCTTCTAGTGGGGTTGCCATTAAAGTTTTTTGCCAGATGTAAAAAATGAATAAATGTATCCCTGAGCTTTTTCAGTTCTTTTGCTGTCCTACAATACTACTGTGTCCTTAGTGAAAACATGGAGTGCAGCAGGAGACCAGGCATCCCACAACATAACAATATAAATGTGAAAAGCTCTGCACCAAAGATATAATAAATAATTATGCAGCCACAACCTGAAAATGTGCTGGTTGATGAAGATTCTTCACCTGCTTTAGCTCTTCAACTGCTTTAGCTCTTCACAGATAATGAATTATCATGCACACAGGATGTTTTAAAAATGCTCCTCCTCTTGGCAGCAGTGTTTTGGCAAAAAAAAAATGGCGGATGCTTTTACAAGCATTTAGGCGCGTTTACAGGCATCAAGCACTTGGGCATAATCTCGTTTAACTGGCCAGAGTAATATTTTTTTCTGTCCATTGAAATTAATTGACGCTCAAGTGTTAAACGTACCTAGCGTTAACACGTTTAGGCACATTTAGACGTGCTTACACGCGTCAGGCGTTTTTTTCTGCCAAAACCGCTGCTGCTCCTGGACGAACTGGCCCTGGGTTTTTTCCCTGCCTGTAAACACCCCTGCCACTAAAAGCTTCTAAAATTCTATGTGTGCATGGACACATAGGATAACATGGGAGGCGTTTACAAGCAGTAAAAAAATGCCCTATGTGCTTGGGGCCTGAGCAAGGAGGTTTTTAAACTTTTAATTCCATTGACAAAATAGCTTTAGTGTAGACCTGTTGCTTTGTTTTGCCTGGGCCATGCACACTTGCCTTCACACTTGTGTGGGCCCTGTGCATTTGTGCAGGCAAAGCAGCCCATTCATTTGAACGCAGGGAAAAAGTCCCTGACCCGTCTGTGGCACCATGCAGTTTTGTGCACCCGAAAACCCGTTGCGTTTTCCAATGCGTAGGGGAGCCATTAAGCGAACCCGCACATCTGCTATAGAGCAAAGCCTTTTGCCTACTGTACACAGGGCTGTGGATAAGGGGGTACCACCAGTCCTCCTGTACAGGGCCCAGGCCAGCAGGGGGGCCCAGGCAGCTGGCAATATGTTTTCCCCCTGCTGCCCTGGCGACCCATGTGCCCCCCACCCCTGCAGTGCTGCCGGCTTTCCTCGTCCCCTTCCCACCAGCAGCTGCAAGCATGCAATAGGATCCTTCAGATGGAAAGTGGGGGGAAGATTCTGGTACATATGTTACATTTACCAACCCCTTCCTTTCCTGAATTAACACAATGAGTGATCAATACCAATCACTCACTGTGTTCATTCATAAATGAAGCATAGTAAACTGTGATTTTGTTTGGGGAGGAGGGTCCTGTAATGTTGGCTGTATGGGGCCCTGTGGTTTCTAACAGCAGCCCTGACTGTGTACCTACATTTCACCCACTCCTGGTCCATACACCTAGAACCCAACTGTAGAGGAGTGAAATGACAGTCTGCCTACTTCTCTAGTTGCCAAGTTTAAAAATGTTTTAACCTCTCTGCTTCTGGTTTTGGTGTGCTATAATGAGTGATGTCAAGGCTCACCAGCTGACTGGCATAAGAAGTGGCAGAACAACACGGCAGCCCTAAGGCACAATAAGTATAAATCTGGCCTTAATTTTAATTCTTCCTAACTCCATTCAACCCTTACCAAAATCTTTCTCTACAGTTGTGGAAAGTCATTTTAACACAATTAACTTTATAATCTCATATTAAGTTTAACCTGACCCACTGTCAGCGCATTCTGGAGCAGCAGTATTTTGGCAGAAAAAAACGCTGACAGCTCCTAAACACCGCTGCCCAGCGTTTAGCAGAGGCTTTTTTTTTTTTTGTTTGAACTGAAGGCTGCCAGCTTCCTTAACAACAGGTGTATAGTTGGTTGTTAAGGAGTGGGCCGGGAAGCTGGCCACCACGTCCTTAACAATGGATGAGTCGTCAGTTGTCAGTGAGGTTTCTGAATGTTAAAAAATGGCGTGCAATTGCCGGAAATAAAAAAACTGTGAAAAAAATGGAGTGGTGGGGCCCCCTTGTGACGTCACTGACCCTGTCGATGATTTCACAAGGGGAAGACATTTTTAATGTGTCATTAATCCCAAAAATAATTTTTTTACCCTTTTACTCAAATTATTTTCCCCTATGTGTGGTGGACATTTGTTTAAAAAATAGATCTGCAGACAGAAAATACCTGATCCTGACAGTGTTCAGGTTGGCAATGCTATCAGTCTTCTGTGTTGTCATTCTGTCTTATTTTTTACAATAATGTTATTGATATTTAAATTAGTCACATTATCACCAGTGTACCAATCCGCTCAGTGCAGCCCTGGCCATATTAGATGAACACATTGCAGTGACATGTGCGGAACACATCACAATCTGGAAATGAGCTCCTCCCACATATTGCCCATTAACTTGTGGGAGAACTGGAAAAGGATCTCATGGGCAAGTTACAAAAAGAATCAGCCTAGGTTCACACTGCTGCGTTCCAATTTTCAGTGCGAATATGGGTGCAACTTTGAGACGGTTTGTATATTCTATGAGGTCACAATTGCACTGAAAACGCACCAAAGTCATACAAGAACCTTTTCCAAAATTGCTCCATGCTGAGTCGCATTGATGTGAATAGCCACCATTAAAAACAAGGTTTTTCATTGTTATGTGGTTCTGTACAACTCAACCTGCATCTTAAATTGCACTACATTTAAACAGGCTTAAAAAAAGTATTTACAATCATTCAAATGGTTTGGTATGTGAATCATAATGATAGTGCTGCTATTTTTTTTTATAAATGTCAAAGCATGTACAATCGGGTTTAGTAACACTTTAATAGTTACAGTATGTTCAATATCAAGATCCCGACAGTGAAGGCACCAAAACGTATGATTTTCTTCTGCTGGCTATCCAGCGACATGAACATTAAAGGTCAAACTGATTTCTATATACTTTCTTCTATGTTATAATATACAGGCTGATGAAAGTATAGTCTTCCTGTAGATGTACACTGATATTCTCGAAAAGCACATGAGTAATAACAATGTTAAAAAATCATTAAGAGCTGACTTGTATAGGAGTGACCCAGGTCAATACATTATTCTTCTGAACAATACTCTGGTCTTATAATTATTTTAAAAAGATGGCATTTAAATGAAAAATAGATAAAATGTCATTTTAACCATCCCACTCGCTAACCTTTCTATTGCACAGGTCTCAAGCCTAACCTCTAATCCTCGAAATGTCATTCTAGACTATAGACAGGGGTGTACCAGAGCTACTTCAGTAAGAGAGCTGCTTGACCTGTGATCTCAGTGCTTAAGAGCTTGTCTATGAAATCTATTTTCTTCTATCTTATTAAATCAATTAAACTGCAACTATACTGTGACAGACTGAATTCAGTTTATTAAAACAGAACATTTCATTTGACTGTACAGGAATTCTGTAACATGCAGTTAAAGTGCACCCATATCCACAACATGAAACTCAAACAAAAGGCATCCGTAGACCTTACCCTTTATGCCCCTAGTGCCCAACCTGCAGCCCGAGGGCCATATGCAACCCTTTGATGTCTGAAGTGCTGCCCTTGGGCCCCAGCAATCACTATGGGGAACACTGATTTGTAAAGGGGCCCTTAAAAGTAGTCTATTGTGGTTTCATGCAGCATGTCCCGACTGTCTCCTTTAGCATGACTTCAGTCTACAACTATATCTAAAGAACAATCTCAGACCATTTCCTCTAGAAAGTCTTCAGTCTGTGACAGTTTTCTGTAGCATCACATACAAAAAATGCTATATGCGG